TGTCATATATATGAGATGATATTATTTTTGGAACTTCTAATGTCTCTCTTGGAAGAGAATTTCCTGAGCCTATGCAGGCTGAATTTGAGATGAGCATGATGGAAGAACTAAAATTCTTTCTGGGAATTTAAATAAATCAGACTCCAGAAGGTACTTACATACATCAAACAAAGTATGTTAAAGAACTCCTGAAGAAATTCCAGCTATCAGAAAGTAAAGAAGCAAAGACACCAATGCATCCTACATGCATTTTGGGGAAAAATGAGGTAAGTAAGAAAGTAGATCAGAAACTCTACAGAGGTATGATTGGATCTCTTCTCAATCTGACTGCATCTAGACCAGATATATTATTCAGTGTATGTTTATGTGCAAGATTCCAATCAGATCCTAGAGAATCTCACTTAACTGTTGTTAAGCAAATTCTGAGGTATCTGAAAGGTACTACTAATCTTGGACTGTGTTACAGAAGATCCAAAGAGTTTAAACTGGTAGGTTATTGTGATGTTGATATTGCTGGAGATAGAATATAACGAAAAGCACTTCTAGAAGCTGTCAGTTTCTGGGTGATAACCTTATCTCATGGTACAGCAAGAAGCAAGCCACTATTGCACTATCAACAACTGAAGTAGAATATATATCTGCTGCTGGATGTAGCACTCAAATGATCTGGATGAAGAGCCAGCTGTAAGATTATCATCTCTATGAAAGTAAGATTCTTATCTTCTGTGATAATACCTATGTTATTTGTCTTTCAAAAAATCATATCTTACATTCTAAGGCAAAACATATAGAAATTAAACATCATTTCATAAAGGACTACATTCAGAAAGGAATTTTAAGTTTAAACTTCATAGACACAGACCATCAATGGGCTGATATTTTTATTAAACCTCTTTCTGAAGATAAATTTAAATTCATTCTGAAAAACATCAGTATGGAACTTTGTCCTGAATGAAATTTTTTTTCTATATATGTTTTCAGAATGTTCTGAAATGAATGTTCTGATTAATAACTCTTCAGAAATTAGAAGAGGAGTTACTTCAGAAACCATCTATTATGTTCTGAAATGTGTCTAACGTTTCATTACAAAAATGGTTCAGAAGTTCATTACATTAAAACAGCTGTCACACGCTATCCTCAAAAGTTGAACCCGTGTTTCAACTCTGAAAGGTAACGCATGCATGCACTGCTATTGAGACGTCATTCCTAGGTAACTGTTCAGATTTGATCAAATCTCACGCATCCCCTCAATGTCAAATCTCACTAATTGCTTGTAATGATTAATGTTTTTTAATTCATAACTTGGATGATGAAACAAGAGGAATCCTCAACAGAAATCAAGAATCTTCTTCTTTCTCTTGTCTCTCGTCAATCTTAATTTTATTTTTCCATTTTTTATACTTATGTCCTTTGACATCTTCTATATAAAAATCTTTTGAATCTCTTTAATTTTTTTGTGCTTTTTGATTATGACAAAAAGGGGGAGAAAATGTGATTTTGATCTGATCCATGATAGCAGTTATGAGACTAAATCTCAAACATTCTTAACAAAATACAAAGTTTGTTCCTTTTAAGAGATGTTTAGGTACCTCAAGACTCTGAAAGACTAAGCTCTAAACATCATCTGGTAAAGATCTGCTAAAGAAACTCTGAAGAAAAGATCAGGAGCTCTTAAAGAAACTCTGAAAGAAAAATGTCCCAAAGCTCAGAAGAACAATCTCAGGAAGTTTCTCTTATGCATTTAAGTTCTTTTATTATTTACTTCAGAAGAAGAAATATTTATCTCAGGGGGAGATTCTCACTCTTGTACAAAAAAAATTTAAAAATCAAAATCTGAATTATTTTGTCATCATCAAAAAGGGGGAGATTGTTAGAACAAAGTTTGGTTCTAATCATATCTTAGAGTTTTGATGATAACAATAAAATAAATTTTGTATAATATATTTTATACTCCGATGTGCATGTTTTCTAATTCAGATGATGTTCTGACTCAAGCATTCTCAAAAGTGAAACATCATTCTACGCTGAGCAGAAAAAGGATAAAGAAGTTCCTAAGAAATTTTATGTAAGAGCTAGTCTGAAGCAAACTCTGAAGGAAGCACTCTAAGGAAAACTCTGATAAAAAAGTAATCTTAAGAAACCTCTGATAAAGCTAGCTGAAGCAAAGATTTGAAAGAAGCACGCTGAAAGCAATATCTGATAATACAAACTGAAGTAAACTCTGATGAACATAAAATGAAGAAAACTCTGACAGAAGGAGTGATATAGCAAACTCTGATAGAAGAAAAGTTAAAGCAAACTCTGATAGAAGAAAAGTTAAAGCAAACTCTGATACTGCAACGCTGCAAGCAAACTCTTAAACTTCCAGAGACAAGCTCTGACAGTACCGTTGATCATTTAATACTAAGACGGCTAACGCACTCAAGTGGTACTACGCACGAGAGCATTAGAAACATAAAGGTCAAGCTAACACGCATCATTAATGCATACACTCTCTTCAAGGCAGTAACGGTCAAAATTTGAAGCTATATATAGAAGACCATTTGGTTCAAAGCAAGGTTACTGATCCACGCAAAATATACTGAAGTTCACTATTTTCATTTTTGTAAACTCTTTGTATATAATGGGTAATTCTTAAGTACTGGGCTAAAATATTAGTGATAAATCACAGTTTGTGATATAGCTTATTAGAAGCATTCTGATTCACTACTGTTAAGAGATATCTTTGTAATTGTTCCTTGAGAGACCAGTTGGGTCAGATTTCTCAAGAGGACTAGGATTAGTTGAGTCTTAGAGGTGTTAGTCACTTGCAGTTGACTTGTGCATTGTATTGTTAGTCTTAAAGGCAAAATTTGACACGTATAACACATGTGTGATATAGAAATGCTGGTCAAATTGTAAGGTTCCAGCATAATTGGTGTGACTAAAGCTCCATTTGGTAATTTGATGGTTATGGGTTTGATTCTTTTCATGCATTAAAAAAACTCTTTAGTGTAACACACATGGTCAGTTTCACCAGCGTATAATATGAAATTTTTAGGTCTATGAGAGTTAATGATTACATATGATATCTGATTTAATATCAAGTTGAGTTGTCAGATGATTGATGTTATGAGATTGTAAATAAGATGCTCCTTGAAGAAGGCCTAATAAGACTTTGTGATGATCTGGTGTGAACATCAAATTACTATGATCATGCTTATTTTCTTCATTGAATTCAGCTTGAAACTTTTCTACTTTATTTGTTGTAGCTACATAATTGTTGATTGTACCATCTTGCTTCCAATGTGGAGGAAAACCATGTTTTTTGAAGCGAAAATCGATTGTGTGATTGGCCATGCCACAATGAATACAAATCCGTATACCTCTACCTTTTCCACCAAATTACCTGCTACCTCTAGTACCTCTACAACGAAAATTAGAGTTGGACATGAAGTTATAACTATGAGTTTGATTTTAATTAGAAAAGGATAACAACTTTAATTCATCAATAGGTAAAATCTCTTATCTTTCTTCGTGGTCTAACAACTGAGTATTGATCATTCAAGCTTTGGAGAAATCTTATAACTTCATCACCATCTTTATATGCATGGATTTTTGTAACAGCTTGACAAACAGAATCACAAGAACATTCGGGAATTGGACAAACATTGTCCAATTCTTACCAAAGTTTCTAAGTTTTTATAATAAGAAGAAATGGAAGAATCACCTTGATTCAAATTGCATATTTCTTCTTGAATATTATAAATTTTGAACACAACGGCTTTATAAAGTGATCCTTCGATTTATTCCATATTTCAGCAGTAGTATCCATTTATAAAATACATTGAGCTATCTCTGATTCAACGAAATTGTAGATCTATGACATAATCATGGTGTTGCACTGATCCCATGCAATGGGGCAGTCTTCATCTGGTGGTCGAGTTAAACTACCATTAATGAAATGAAGTTTATTCTTAGATCTTAGTGTCATAGTCATATAACGTGACCAACAATAGTAATTGTTGCTTGAAAGTAAGGGATAAACAAGAACTAAACCAACAATAGTAATTGTTGCTTGAAAGTAAGTGATAAAGAAGAACTAAAATTAGTTTTTCATTAGGATGCATGAAATAAAGGTTGGGAGTATCAGTTTGATAACCTTTGCTATTGGCGTGAGATGACGATCCAGTATTGATGCTGCTTGCAGAACTTGCACATACATGATGAACACAACAACGAAAACAAGAGGATCGAAAGAAAAAAAAATGAAAGAAGATTGAGATTGATGAGTTGAGCTAATCGAACACGGTAATGAAGGCTTGATCACAAGTCGATGATATCATGTTAAAACTCAAGCTAAACAAACAAAAGGATTGAAATGAATAAGAAGAAATGGTATTCAAGCTTCTCAAAACTCATAATCTCACCTATTACAAGAGAAGATGGTTGCTTATATAACAAGCAATTGTAACTAACTAGAACAAACTCCTAACCAATTGATAACTAACTAGAAGTTAGTTATTTTCAGTTATGTTTCTCTATGAACTAGCTTAGTTACATCTATTTCTTCATTACATTTAACACAATCATATCCATACTTTTATTCTTGCCACCAAAGAGCTCTAATTGTTCAATCAATCCTAGTAAATAATTTTGGAGCTATCTTGGATCTCAACAGCAATAAACAGCAAATATAAACTTATAAATTCAGTAATCAACATTTGAATCAGCATAAGTTCATAAACATTGTCCACATAAAATCTATGATTGCATCAGAATCCAAACATTAAAAGTTAATAATCATATAAAACCAAAGAAAACATTTAAAGGAGGAAAAAAACATCACTAACTTGGTGTCTTTTTTTCTATATAAAACGAATTCTTATGAGGACTTCATTTATAAAGAATGAGTTTACATTACTCAGCAGAGACCCAACATGAGAATTCGTTCAACAATAAACAAGTATATCAAAAAATATGTTACAACTTACATAATTTTTTTCACTTATTTATATAAGTTATCTTAGTTTCCTTAGTGGCAAAGCACGTCCAAAGAGCTTTTCTACTTCATCAGCTTCCAATTTGAGGCTGTTGAGTATCTCCATTTCTTCCTTAGATAGCCCTCTTAAGAAATTTTCTTCATCTTCTTGCAAAATTTTGAACCCTTCTGCCAACTTCTGTAACAAGTTCATTTCGGTTTTACCAACCTTCTCTACCTCTTCTTCCAACTCTTCAACTTCCCTCACAATGGTTTTCTCTCCTTCCTCTACTTTTTTCTCCAACCTCTCCACAATGGAAGGCTCTGGTCCACATGTGTTATCTGTTCTTATGAACTTGCTAAAGTCTCTTCCTACGCTCTTTGCCGCTTTTTCAAGTTCAGGAATAATAGATTCTGGTAAAACTGAACTCCTTGTGTATACGACAGCACCACCGTAGCCATCCCATGCATCGTTTCTTCCTCGGTAGTATATGAATATATAGTCATCTGGTTTGTTCTCAATTTGAGATGACAAAATAAACCTGCAGATCATTGCTTGTAAATCCTCTAGTGGAGCCAAAGGCCGAATTCGACAAATAAAACAACAGCTTTCAGGTTTAACTGAAAGGGTTAGGCCTAAAAGTAAAAGAAAACACTGATTTTTCACACATTGGAAACTTGAAAATGAGTAAACCAAGGGCCTGTTTACTTCCCATATTTTGTATTTTCATTTTCACTTCAACTAATAAAAAGAAAACAATACAGATCAAATATTTCATTTGCCATTTTCTTTTACAAATTTTTAAAAACAGGTCTAGCATTTTAAGCAGAACCGTCTTTGAGGGCGTGCAAGAGAGGCTACCACACAGGGCCTAAAATTTACCATAATAAAACCTTGAAAATTTATCATGGTAAAACCTTGCTATAGAGGTCTCACAAAATATTGTCACAGTTAAATCGTGGTTAAATAGGACCTTTATTTGTTTTGCTATGGTTAAACTTCGGCTAACCTACACAAGGCCTAAAAAAACTCGAGACAGTTCCGATTTTAAGATATGACTATCATGTGTAATAGAGGCTGAGAAAAGCAACATGTTGTTATGTCCTTTCTGTTCCTTAAGTTGGAAGTAACATTTACTTACTTCAAGCACTTGAATTTCATTTAAAATAGAAAAATTATGGGTAATATGTGAGCTACATGTGAGTAAAGATTATGGGAATTAAAAAGAGAACCTCTGAGCAAGGAATTACCAGTCATCTTGATAGTTAAGGTACTCATTATCGTGATTGTAGAGTATTCCTGGATTTTCAGGATCTTGAACAAATTTCTGCAGGGCTGACCTTGTAAGAAATCCACCATCAGGAGTTGGTATTCTCCATGCTATATTACCAACAAGTTTATTGGATTCTGTGTGAAATTCATGTAATTGGCAATCAAAGGCATCAAAGGTGGGATTTAACCCACTAGTGATGTACCACTTGCCACTAAAATCTGAAATATTAAAGCTCTTCACAAGAACGTCCGGGTTTGGAACAGGAAACTCTCCCACATCAGATTTCTTAGGTACACATTTCTTCCTTGAGACGGCGCACTCGTTGAATTCATCAACCACACTGTTTTCAAACACGTCTCCGCATTTAATCTATAAAATAAAGACAAAATAAGAAGCTTTCATGAGCAGAGATTTCAGGCTCCTTTGACAATCAGTGTACAATGGTGTATACTTGAAGTTGATGTAAAGAGTAGAAAAACTAACTTGGCATTCAGTCTCATCAGGTCTGTTGTTGCAAGTTTGGAGACAAGCAATATTTGCAGCACATGATGGGTTTGAAAGACACTTGGCTAATTCTGGCCTGCATAGATATAAGAGTAAGGCCTATTGTATTACTTATGAGGCTATATATAATAAGACTATGGATTTAAATAGTATAGTATAGCATACCTGCATTCCTTGAGCAAACAGGCACAAGTTTTGAGAGCATCAACAGCATCAGCTGAAGGAACAAGCATCAAAATGCAAACCAATAAGCCAGCTAGTTCCATGAGACGTAAATTTCTCCAATCTTTGAGAGAAACAAGCATCCTATTGAACCCAAATTCAAATATATGTGTAGGATTGGGAGAAGAATGGTGTTCCCCTTTGTGGTGTTGACATTGCCATCTGAAACCACGAGAATGGCTATGAAGCCTTAACAAATGCAAGTGTGAAGGTTTTCTAGTGAAAGACACTAGTTTGAGAAGTCCAACAGTAGTAGTAGGAGAATATTGAAACCTTGTTGTTGTTGTTGTTGTAGTTGTTCTGTGAAACCTTATATCAGTTTTGATAATAATACTTGAGTTTGCACCCAATGTTGCCATATATTTATGTCCTTGCCTCACATTCAATTGTGATCTGAACTGAAAGTGCAAAAGATAGAGGAAATAAATAAATTAAATGAGAAAGATGAATAGTATAAGAGAAAAGAGTGGTGGAGACGCCTTGTAAATTGAAGCTGCAATGAATAAAAAACAAGAGACGAGAAACTGCGTGGCGTGGCGTGGCGTGGCATTAGAGGATATGGTGTGTGTTTGTGTGTGTGGACTGGAAACAATGCCACCAAAATTGTACACGTCGACGCTTCCAATTTTCTCGGGAGGGACTATTCTTCTTTCAACTCGACTGGACTGGACTATATATTTCAACAAATTCAACGGCCACTACTAAAATCATATCTACCACCCCCCAAAAAATTTAAGTTTTCTATATTACCATTTCTCTAAAATAAAAAATCTATCCGCCATGAGTTGATTCAGTGATGATTTGCGTTAGACTTGACAGAGAGAATTACGGTTTGAGATCTCTCACAAATGTGATTGGAAAGAATTAAAATCACTTGAATCAAACTGATTCCCAAACTAGATTAGACACTTCAATAGACGACTATTGATTTTGCAAACAAAATAAAATCTCATATTATTAGTTAGATTTCAGAATTTTGAGAAAACATGTGCAGTTAATCACATATTTTGAGTCCTCTATCGGATTTTTCAAGTAAGTCAATTTTAATATTCGTTCTTTAAATTTTTATTAGATATTTAATGTTGAATATTGTATATTTATGAAAATCATGCATTTTTACTAACCTTTCAAAAATTTCCAGTAAAAATCCATAAATTACATGCATTTTTATCAGAGATTTTGAAAAGTCTAGTTAAACCACATACATTTATAACGACATTTTTAAAATATTTGATAAAACTGCATACACGTCGATTGAATATTTCAAAAATTCGAGTAAAGAAGTTTTAATAAACGGATTTTTCAAAAAATATGGTAAACACATGTAAATTTCCATATTTTAAAAAAGTATATGGAAGTTCATCTTTGTTTTTTTGGTAGTGAGGGCTAGAGGATGAAACGACATGATTGCTTCCAGATGAACTGACTAAGGTGTAGAGGACTTTCATTGTGTAAGGGCAAATGACTGGGAGAATTTGAAGGTGCAAAGAAACACAAGAAAGTGGGGGATAAATTGGGTTTCTAGGTTAAAACTTTTTGTAACCCAAGAACACAAACAACCAGAATACAAGAATGATAAAAGACATAAAAGGATTTTTATCCTGGTTCATTGTTAACGAAGCTACCTCCAGTCCATCCGCCAAGGTGAGTTTTCCTTCTCAATAAGGATTTAATCCATTAATCAAAACTTTGATTACAACCTCAATGACAACTTGTAAAGACTTCTTGAGAATCCTGACTATATCCTAGTCTCTCAAGGAATTTAACAACGGTTAAATACAAGATCCGTGTTTACCAAGTTGCTTCAAAAATAAGCAAATACACACAATGATAAACATATATTACACTTAAGAAAATTATGAATTAAAATTCTAAGTGTTTCTCTTTCTTTTTTCTTTCTCTTCACACAAATCACTTCCTGATCTTCCTTCTCAATCTTATGTTCATTCCTCATATTTTCCAAGCTTTCAATTCCTCTTTATATAGATGGTGAAAAGATCCTTTGGAGGGTGAAGTTGGAATGTCCTCAAAAAATATAGATGTTGGAGATGCTTGATAGTACCATAGTGGAGTTGCATGCTGCATGTAGTGGATGAGAAGATGAAATAAGGGAATACACGTTGGTATAATAGTACTGTCCTTTTCTAGATTTTCATAACAGTGGAATGAGTATTTTATCTTGTACTGGTTGTACTCTTGCCACATATTCTTCTTTTAATTATTATCTTCTATTCAGAGTATTCAAATTTAAGTTGATGAAGCTCGAGTAGAGTTTAGATCATGTCTTCAAAATCTGATAAAAAATGAGACTTCAGAGTCTATAGTGTTCATGAGGCATGAGGCTCAGGCTGACACTGAGGTGGAGGCTTGAACTGAGTTAGAGGTGGTGGGGGATGACACTAAAGCGACGAATTAGGTTGGTGAGGAAGTGGAGGCTCAAGTTGAGACAAAGATGATAGTTTAGGTTGATACGAGCATTTCCTGTCCATTTGTGGCAGACGTGTTTGTGTTTCTACTATTGGCTCCCCACGGGCCACTAGATAAAGGGCCAAACATTCACATCCATGAGGTCTTTCAGAGTACATGAGGAGGATGGATGAGTTGGTCGTAGAAGATGTCATATTGACACCCTACACAAAGCATTTAGTGCATCAGGACTTTGATGATAATACCCTATTTTTTTTGCTATCTGCAATGGGAGAGTTCAGTGGCTAGATACTTGTATAAGAGGTGTTTGCGCTAATATGGGTATATTCATGGCATCCCTTGACCAGACTATTATGTTTCATATGAGAGAATTGATAGATTATTTATGTCTAACATTGTCAGCGGTGTTATTTCTATTAGAGATAGTGTAATGGAGGTGCATTTCCCTGGGAAGTGTGACAATGGTTACTTAGAGTGGTACGTTACAATATCACACTTTCGCATCATCTCACATGCTCAGTATGCTGATGATGTTAGACCTCCCCATGATGAAGGGTCTTTAGATGACGTGTCATTGCCTCCACCTGATATAAATGGCCAGCAGCTGTTGCAAATGATCACACTTCTTTCAGATAACCTCATGGGTTTGACAAACCCAAATGGTGATATGTATGCTTTGGCCTCGCATATAGCACTCGTTACCCGTGGTGGATCAATGTAGATTTTATTAGTTTGGTCATTATTTATTTTAGCTGACATTATTTTGGGTTTGTGTTGAAGTTTTTTATATTGTTGACATTTTAGTTTAACATTGCATTCAATGAAAATTAGCATTACATTACAGCGGGACGAACATAACTTAACATAAAAATTGCTTAACATAACTTAACATAAAAATAATATGAACATAATTTAAATGCTGCTAGATAAATCAAGACATTTCAACATCTTGATAATATCATCGACAAATATGAAAATTATTTCATCCACCTCGATCAAACCCTTTATTTCGTATTGGTGATATGTGTTTCACGTTACTTTTAAATCTTCATTCGTCTTCAGCTCAAACTTACGAAACATAATCTTCCCCTCATTATCAATTGATGTCGAATGATTATCAATCTTAATCACCTTTTTGTTGTCGGTATGGTGCACAAGATTATTCAATTTGTATTTCAGAACAACAAGAGAGGTGTCCTCTGTGAGCATTAAACCAACTAGAGATTTCATGTCATTGAAGTACACAAATGCAAGATATCATTATTGAGACATTCTGAGATATTTTTTAACAACATATTATGCATATTTTTACAAATTTGGAATCAATATGGATCACACAAAGTTATCGATGCAATCATAACCCTACAAAAGTGTCAGCAAAATTCTAATCATTGAAATTAATACTACTAGAATTTTTAGTGTTAGGGGAAAATTTTGGTAACAATTAGAGGTTTTAAAAAAGTCGATAATCTAGGATGTTTTTAAAAAAACCCAGTAAAATAACACTACTGAATTTTTTAGGTTTATGGGAAAAATCTGATTATCCATGGTGCATTTGAAATACATCGGTAAAATTTAACACACACATGCCGATTTTTTGAAATATCTGGTAAAAATACATATCAGATTTTCTTTATTAGATTATCAGACTTTTCGTGTGTCTACTGTATTTTTTTTGTCTACCAAATTTTTTGTATGAATTTTTTTGAACAAAAATATTATTGATATTATGAAAATATGGGGATGCCAGGTAAAATTCTCAAGTTCAACTTCTACTTTCATGGCTCAATTCATTTTTCTCTCAAAAAATTTCACACTAAAGATATGAGAATTTTATCTGACACCATCTCAAGTATACACGACACCCCATATATTTTCATAATACTAAAATTACCCTCTTCATTTTTTTCATCAATCACATGTTATAAATTTTTTTGAACAATCACTACAAATCTGATAGTTCATACAAAAAATCTGGTATAAGTTTTTATCGAATTATTTGAAATATTCTATGCATATCAAAATTTTTACCGATTTTTTCAAAAAGTCTAATATATTAGATATTTCTAACACCCTTAAAAATTTGTTAGTGTTAGTTTGGAATGATCACATCTTTGCATACAAAAGAAAGACAAGAAAATCAAAAAAGAAATTGACTTGCTAGAGTTTTTAAAATATCATATCACACCCCTGTATATATGGGCAATTTTAAAAATTCGTTATGCTTATATTTAGTAAAAATTATGAATTTTTTTACCAATTTTTTTTTAAATCACTGGTACCATATTGAAAAATTTAGAAATGTCTGATGAAATACAAAATTTTGTTTTCATTTTTATCAACATTTTCAAAATTTTCAGCAAAAATTTATATAGGAATTGTTGGAAATCCACCTAATACTATGATGAATTTCGACCAATAATGATGATTAGTTATGAGAAAAACAAATAAAATAAGACAAGATAAATATTTCTGCAGAGTTTCTCTCTGCCCACAAACTGTGGAAAACTTTCTTAATCACTTGCAACTGCAAATTCTGTGATTACAATGAATTGTCTTGCTTGACTTGCTTTCAAAATAGGGGTTACTCCCTCTATTTATAATTGAGCTTACACCCTAAGCCCAAGGCCCAAAATATCTTTTTGTTACTAAATCAAATCTAATCAAATCTATTCTAGACTTAAATCAAATCTATTTAAATCTAAAACAAATCAAATCTTCTTTGACACATATGAATTACAATTTAACACACCACCTAATTCATTGTGTCTAAACTGTCTATGTTCATCATGGCCCTTAGCTTTCTGAATACTTCGACTTGCACTCCCTTCGTCATGATGTCTGCAATCTGATTCTCAGTTCTGCAGTGTTTCAAATTCATCTTCCCATCTGCTACCTGCTCTCGAAGATAATGGAACCTCATTTCGATGTG